GTGCACCGGGCCTCTAGTATGCTAATAATATGCTAAGGCCACTCAACCACTCACTATGATGTACACTGACCACCAGGGGGCAGACGCTCTGACCTGTAGGTTAGCTTGCTGATCGGTGGGGTCCCTCGGCCTGGCCTGCGCCCTCTCGCAATCCAGGACCCCTCAGGGGATGTCAGAGAGCCAGTTTCGGCCCAAACCCGCAGGCCAGGCCAAGGGACCCCACTGGTGCATGAATTCGTGCACTGGGCCTCTAGTAAAAATGTAAAACTCCAGGAGGTTGGTAGAGGAAAATGATGGATATGGTTTGTAGTTGCTACATCTCTGCCTAAATTCGGAGTGAGACCTGTTGACCTGGGCCCAGCACAGTGCCTGAAAGAAAACTGGTCAGACTGAGTGCCTGCAGCTGGGAGGTGTGATGGCAGCAAGGTCCTTACTTTCACGGTGCACACGTGTGGCTTTTCTGTGGCCCTTTTCATAGAAGAGTCTATGTGTCTAAACTGCATAAATGCCTTATTTTTTAGGACAGTTCTTGGTTCACAGTAACATGGAGAGGAAGGTACAGAGAGTTTCCACCCCCTGCCCCATGCATAGGCTCCCCCATTATCAACATCCCCCACCAGAGTGTACACTTGTTATAACTGATGAACCTACAGTAACACACCGTTAGCCCCTAGAGTCCATAGTTTACATCAGGGTTCACTCTTTGCGTAATACATTTTATTATGCGTAGTGACCTGTGTCCAGCATCATAGTATCATGCAGGGCAATTTCATTGGCCCCCAAACCCTCCATGCTTTCCCTGATTGTATCTATTGCACCTATGTGTCTATATCTATTCATCCCTCCCTCTAACTCCTGGCAACCCTGGTTCGATTTGCTCTCTCCATAGTTTTGACTTTTCCGGAATGCCACGCAGTCGGAATCATACAGTATGGAACCTATTAGATTGGCTTCTTTCACATAGTAATATGCATTTAAAGTTCCCCTGTGTCTTCTCATGGCTTGCTAGCTCATTTCCTCTTAGTGCTGAAATATATTCCACTGTCTGGATGTCCCACAGTTTATGTACCCACTTGCCTATGAAGGACATCTTGGTTGCTTCCAGTTTTGGCAACTATGAGTAAAGCTTCTATAAACATAGTTTTCAACTCCTCTGGGTTGAAAGGCATGTGCTCTCTGGATCATGTGATAAGAACATGCTGGTGTTGTAAGAAACCGTCAAATCGTCTTCCAGAGCGGCTGTACCGTTTTCATTCCACCGGCGATGAGAGCGAGCTCCTGCCGCTCCACGTCCTCACCAGCGCTTGTGGTGTTAATGTTCTGGGTTTGGGCCATTCTAGTAAGTGTGGAGTGATATCTCATGTTTTTAATTTGCATTATCCTGGTGACATATGATGTGGAGCATCTTTTCATGCGCGTATCTACCATTTGTGTATCTTCTTGGAGAGGCATCTGCTAAGGCCTTTGGCCTATCTTAAAATCAGATTATTTTCTTCTTGCTGAATTGTTCTTTGTATATTTTGAATAATAGTCCTGTATCTGACAGGGCTTCTTGCATATATATATGCCCGGTCTGTGGCTTATCTTTTCATTCTCATGACAGTGTCCTTTGTAGAGCAGAAATTGTTTATTTTAATGAAGTCCAGCTTATCAATGATTTCTTCCCTAGATCATGCCTTTTATGTTGTATCTAAAAAGTCATTCATCGCCAAAACCAAGGTTGGCCATCTAGATTTCATCCATTGTTGTCTTCTAGTTTTATAGTTTTGCATTTTACATTTAGGCCTGTGATCCATTTAGAGTTTATTTTGGTGAAGGGGGTAAGGTTAGTGTCTAGAGTATTTGGCATGTGGATGTCCAATTGTTCCCGCACCATTGTATCGCTGTCAATTTCTCCCTTCAGATTCGTTAATATTTGTATTTTGGTGTTCCTATGTTAGGTGCATATGTATTTATAAACATTACATCATCTTGCGTGATTGAAACCTTTACCATTATGTACCGCCTTTCTTCATCTTTTATCACAGTCTGTTTTAAAGTCTATTTTTTCTAATATGAGTATAACTGAACCAGCCTTCTTTTCATTTGCATTTGCATAAGATCTTTTCCTCCCTTCACTTTCAGTCTGTGTGCCCTTACTTCTGAAGTGAGTCTCTTACAGGCAGCATTTAAGGGTCTTATGCATCCATGATGCTGTCTCATACTGTTGCTCTTTTATTCCTTCACTCGTGGGTGGAGCTAAATTGGGCACTGGCATAGGTAGGGGAGCCTATTCCTACATTCGATGAACAATGAGGAGCCCTTAAAGGTTTTGAGCCAGTGAACAACATGGTAAGCCCCTGAAGCACGGGCAGGAGTCCAGAGTTGGGGGCGAGGGGGGAGTGGAGATCTGGGTGATCTCCAGCAGGCGCCGGGACATTTAGATCTGGAGCCCAGGAGGGAAGAGCGGGTGCTACCTCCACATGTAGGTGTCACCTTTCCAGCTGAAGCTGCGAGGACAGATCAGCACCAAGAGGTGGGGATGACAGCAGGTGCACGGGCGGGACCTTCCTGTGCAGCCACCCTGCAGTGACCAGGAAGGAAGTGCAGCTGGTGGGGGGAGCCAAAGGGAGTCCCCACGGGCGGCCTGAAGGGCGGAGAAATGGAAGCCAAGAAATGGAGCAAGAGAAGGAGCTGCACCTGCCCAGGGAGAGTGAGGACTACGGGGAGGCCAGGGGTCTGCAGACAAGGCACCACCTGCCACGCCTCCCAGACAGCCTGCTGTCATCCTGCCCTTCCGCCAGGCCCCCGCCGATCCATGTTGATTCCACCTCTGCACTCATCGGTTACACTTATTCTGTTCCAGTGTCCCTTGCCTTTCCCTTAGTCATCCTTCTTCTGGACAATCCCGCTGTGACACCAAACACCTGGCCTCCTCTGCGTCCCTTCTCCACTCCGCCCTGTCTGCTGCTGCTACATGACTCTTCCCAAAGCTGAACCCGGTCACGATGTCTTCTGCAGGAAGACCCCAATGGCTCCCCGTTGCCTATTAAAGGTCAGACTCCTTGTGACGGCAGCCAAGCTCTTATCTACAGCTTGTCACCATCACGGAGACAAGTCTTCATGTTCCTGGGAGCAGTACTAGCGCGGCTCTACTGCCACCCAGTGGTCGTCTCTCTCTTGTGCAACACTTGTCTGTTTCTGGATGTAGATTCCTACGTTTGCTGATTTCCAGCCAGCAGCAAGTTACTGAATGCGAAGCTGGGAAGGGATGCAGACCATCCGCTCCAGGGGCTGTGCGGACGCAGCTCCAGCCCACCACTGGTGGGGACAGAGCCAGGAACGGATGGGCCAGCTTGGCAACGGTATCAGTTACTGTTCCACTTCTGATAGGCTAATTGGAACTTAAGAAAACACAATCAGCTCGGAGGGTCTATGGCCGCGGTTCCCAACCTGTAGGTCGCAACCCCTTTGGGGGTCGAACGGCCCTTTCACAGGGGTCGCCTAAGACCATCGGAAGACACATATATAATTACATATTGTTTTTGTGATTAATCACTATGCTTTAATTATGTTCAATTTGTAACAATGAAAATACATCCTGCATATCAGATATTTACATTACGATTCATAACAGTAGCAAAATTACAGTTATGAAGTAGCAACGAAAATAATTTTAGGGTTGGGGGTCACCACAACATGAGGAACTGTCTTAAAGGGTCGCGGCATTAGGAAGGTTGAGAACCACTGGTCTATGGGAAGGGCTGGGCTTATGGAAGTCCTGTAACAACTGCGAGAACCCTCCAGGAGCTCTATGCCCACGTGGGGCTCTCTGGTTCTAACTTCCCTTCCCTTAACTTCCTCTTCCCGTGGCTGAACACCCCTCCATCATGGCCTGTAATCCAGGGTGTGCCGTGGCTTGCCATGTCTGCCAGCACTGGGCTGCAACCCTTGCTTTTCCCTGAATAAAGCCTCTTGGTGAGGAAACACCTAGTCAACACCAACTTTCAGCTGACACTTCCATGGCAGCCTCCGCTACATCTTGGTGGGCGAGATTTGATTGCCTCAAGGAAGTCTGGTCTTCCCGGGTGGCCTTGTGTCCGGCTGCAGGCCTGGAAGGGTGAGAACCCCACTTACACTTGCCTCTTTCCCCACAACACAGGCACAGCACTCGGCTCACGGGAGGAACCAGGTTTGGTGGCAGACTGACTTCATGGGGCAGGCAGGGGACCATCTGCTGAATGCATGCACATTCACTGGGAGCAGGCGGGCCTCCCACACCTGCCCCCAACCCCCATGTCTGCTTTGAGAAGCACAAGTTGGTCTTCGGTAAGTTGCCAAGCGGGAAGTGTGTCTCCAGCCTTCCTCACCCTCTGATCGGCCCCCTTCCCACCTCCTGGAACCTTGCCATGGGTGCCCAGGCCCTCAGTGAAGTAGGTGCTCTGGCCTCCAGAACCACGTGAAGAATCGAGAGTTGTCCTGGCTTCCCTGAGGGGTCTGAGACACCCCAGTCCCAGCCCCACTCCCTCCCCAGGAAAGGGTCAGTTCTCTGGTGTACTCAGTGACCTTTAGGAAGCGTGTGTGGATCCTGGCCACCCCCCTGCCTTCCACTCAGAGGGACTCTGACCCTCCACAGAGGGGTCATCAGTGTGCATGTGAGAGAAACAGGCATGAGCATTCCGTGCACAGGGCCGGTCACCCTCACGCTCCCACACTAGGGAGAACAGCTGCCACACTCCGTGCAGGGTGAGCACTGCCAGGAGGCAATAACATGACCTCTGGCTGGCGTGACCTCTGGCTGGCTGCCAGGGCACTCAGCTTCCATCTAGATAAAAGGGTGGAAAGGGACCGTTCTGTCAGCACCACAGACCCTGGTCCTTAGTGCACAAGACTGGCACGGGCACACCCCATAGATTTGTTTCTGCTCTCCACCCACTTTCCTCACACTCCGGGACTCCCACACTGAGCCCACAACACTTCAAAGACCAAGGCTTTATTTGTCTCTAGCTCCAGTGTTACAACTGTAGCAGCACATCAGAACCCCCACACATGAACACACATTTCTCCCCTTCAAACAGCGGGCAACAATTGAGGCAGGAACTACCATATTTACTACAGTAACACCCTTATTACATTCATTGTGTCTAGCCGGTAGGAAGCAGCAGTACCTTCGCCTTTAACAGGCACAATCGTCCTTAAATAAAGTTACTGGCATAACAAAGTGTTGGAGATGCAGCCTTCAGGGCACAGGGCTGGGAATAAGACATCAGCATTAAAGAAGGAAAGAAAAAGAAACCATACAAAAGGATGTAGGCCAGTAAATACCTAGATTTCATCCGAAATTTTAAAAATCTAGTCATGGACTGGATTGTTATCCCATTTGAAAAAAAAAATCCATGTTTTATTCAAAAATAAAACTGATGAACAAGTGGGTGAATCTCCAATCAAGGTCTGACACACACATGCGCACACTCGCTCAGAGCTGTGCATTATACCAAGAGGCATTGGCTGCCTGCAGGTGTCAATCCAAAGACACTACCAACCAAGTGCAGGCCAGTTATGCTGAGTGGCCATCATGGGGGCGGGGAGGGCACTTTCCTAGTTAGCACTTCACAACCACAATGTCACGATCAACAAGTGGACTGCTGTCGGCACAAGGCAACAGCACAAACTTTGGAGCTCAGGAAGAGCCGGGGAATTAATTCCCACAAAATAAGCGATCACTTGTATATGTGTAGTGCTCATGCAGCCCCAGGGAGACCCGGTGGGGAAGGCAGGACAGGTGGCATCACCCCCACTTCTATGCGATCCACTACACAGTGGGGATCAGTCCTCCCACCGGAGCCCAGAGCTCTGAACTCTCCCTCCGTCTGCTCCTTGCCTCTCGCACCCTAAGGGGTTTTCCCAGAGAAGTAAACAGCTTCTTCTCTGAATAACAGCAAAAACAAAATCCTGTAAGGAATAAGAAACATTGTGCAACAATGTGGTGAGTATAAGTGGACAAAAGGGGTGGTTGGGTAATTATTTTAGAATTCGATCTGTTTTTTCCATTCACAGAATTTAACAGAACACTGGACATGTTTAGAGAGTCGTAAACACTTGCCACAGCAACATGGTCTCCATGGGCTTTTGCACCCCAGTGGGGCAGATGCTGGTTAACCCTGAGCTGGGACAGGCCAGCAGCTGACCCCACCCAGGAGGATGGCCCAGCTCACAGGCACACATGGGAGCTGCCAGCGCCCTCTCCTGTCCCTCATCTGAGACTCCCAGCACGAGTGTCCCAAGATGGAAACTGTCCCAGCGCCACCTGGGTTCTTCCCAGGAAGTTATAGGAGCCGGGTCTGCGCCTCAGTGAGCGGCTCAGCACTGACTGCCTGGGGCCAAGGGCCAAGGGCGAAGGCTGGACCAGGCCCGCAGGAATGAAACACACCTGTGCTCTGCTCCCTTTAAAAAAGCCGGGCTCTGAAAGGAGGCCATCAGCTCATCCCTTGCAAGTCTGGCAGCCAATGGAGAGCCGTGGCCAGAGGAACAGGCCTGCCCTCTCTCCGTGATAATCTGGCTCAGACTCACCATCACAGAGAACAAGGTAGTTAGGCCTCGTGTTCTCCACTGATGAGGACCTACGGGGCTGAAGGAGGCTCCGGAGGCACCTGGACTTGTGCCTGAGGGTCTGGGCCTTGCTTCAGCGGCCGGGCCGGCTGGAGGGCCTGCCGCCTGTCACTGCGGGAGAGAGGCAAATGCCATATACTTGCTATGTGTTTTCAAATCCCTAAATCTGCACCGGGAAAGAGATCAGGAGATTTAGTCAAAGCACAAACAAGAACACCAGAGGCGCCTGGGTTACAAGGGGGATGTGGAAAGAAGTCCTAGGAAATGGTGGGACTAATCCCAGCTGGTAGCCAGACGCTGGCGTTTCACGGGCTTCCAAGTGCTGGCCCAGGGAGGCGCACGTTCCGTCCCCGGGAAGGAGCCCAGTCATTCTAATTCTGCTGGGACCACTGTCCTTCAAGTGATCCTGTCACCAGCACACGTGTGCGCCCACAGCAAGAGAGAATGTCCCAGGGCCCGGTCTCTGGTCCTGGAATTTTAAGGAAAGACAAAGGCTAAAGGCACATGAAGGTAATGAATGAATGAAAGGAAAAAAAAAATAGCTGAAAGATACATATTATTTGTGTGTTTTTTCAATGTACCTTCCCCCAAACCCCATAAAAAGAGAAATTCAAAAATATAAACATATTTATTATTTTACATTCAAGTGAAACTCAACACAACTCTAGGCCACATTTAGCAATTTATTACTTTGGTGCCTTTTTATCTAACCCAATGGAAGAATTCCGCCCTCCATTTTTTAAAATCAGCTTTGTATTCCTAGCTGTCACACTTATCCGTACACACACAGGCACACACACACACAAATCCAAAAACCTCTATGTAGAAAAATAAAGAATAAACATTATCCATCCATTTTATACTGTGTACTAGAACTTTTATATACATAATGTGCTCTTTCTGCGTTCATGGTTTTCAGTCATGCACACTTTCTTCCCCACTGTGTGACCTATGATTCGAGGGGCGGGGCCTGCCACAGTGAAGCAGGAAAGCTACATTCCTCGTAGGGGAGGAAATAGAAAGCAATTTCTCGCTTTCCTTCCAAAGTCTTTCCCCCCCTACTACCACCTCGGATGTCCCTGCGGACGGCCTCTGGTAGGCGGCTGTCCCATCCTCTCCTCTCTCTCCAAGGTGTCAGGGAACGGAAGGCCCCCCCTGAGAACACCCTGCAAAAATAATCCCGCTGTGAGGGCGCGGGAAGGGAAGCAGGCAGGGAAAACCTTTTAAAAATACAAGATTCTGGAATCGCTGCCCACAGCCTGTTCCTTTAGTACGGAGTTCGATTCTCCAGCTTGTGCTTGGTGAGGAAGTACTTGAAAAATTCGTAGACGGACCAGGAGATGGCAGTGGAGGGCATCTGGTAGATGATGCGGGCCTGCATGCCTTTAAAGTAGCCGGGCAGGCCATTGAGCTGGTACACCGTCCGGAAGGCGTTGGCCATGCCCGTGAGCCGGCCGCTGATGTTGGCCAGGCTGAGGGCCATGTTCTCCTGAGTGTTGAGAAGGGTCTTACAGACGTCCAGGGGGGTGGTGGCGGCTGCGGCCAGGGCCCCGGCCAGCCCGCCGGAGAGGATGTGGGACTGTGGGTTGTAGCCCCGGTGGGGGTTGACCTGCTCCTGCAGGAACTCGTAGGTGATGAAGTGGATGGACTGGAAGGGAATGTTCATGGTCAGCTGCGTGGTATAGCTCCGGTAGAAGGCCCGCAGGCCCTCAGTCCTCCAAACCGTCCGGATGCAGCCGAGGGCCGACCGGTGTGGCGAGTTGTACATCTGCATGCGCTGTTTCACAACTGTAGTTGGGCCGCAGGGTGTGGTGGACAGGCAGGCAGGGGGCAGTGGGTTGGTTTGGCCCCACCCCGGGTCAGAGTGCAATGGGAAGCCAAGCCATAAAGAAAAACAAGCAAGTTTAGACACGCTGGTAACAGGTCAGAGCGCGCACACACAGCCCCAGCCGGAGACCACAGAGGGCCAGCTGCAGGCGGGCCGCGCTCCCACCCCAAACCTGAACCCTGCCCCTGGCCCTCCGGCCCTCCTGCCCTCCTGTCTTCACCTCCTGGACACGTGTCCCGTCTCTCCTTTCCTGGTCTGTCTGACAATGTCATTAGCTTCTGTGTCACAGTGCTCTGGGAAGACTCTAGAACAGTGATGGCGAACGTTTTGAGATCGGCGTGTCAGCATTTTGAAAAACCCTAACTTAACTCTGGTGCCGTGTCACATATAGAAATTTTTTGATATTTGCAACCATAGTAAAACAAAGACTTATGTTTTTGATATTTATGTTATATATTTTTATATATTTAAATGCCATTTAACAAAGAAAAATCAACCAAAAAAATGAGTTTGCGTGTCACCTCTGACACGCGTGTCATAGGTTCGCCATCACTGCTCTAGAATTATGCCAGCCCACTTCACTGACTACCTGCAGTGAAGGCCCCTGCTTGGTTCATACAAAAGTAACTGCGGGTCAAAGGCCACAACTACAGTTGTGAAGAGGCAAATGAGGGCCCACTGTGGTCCCCTAGGCTTGGAGTTGTAGTCATCCCCACCCATTGCCCAAATGAACACACAGTGTTCTTTTCTTTATTGTTAAAGGAATAAAGTCCGTCAATCAACATGATGTCAAGGAGAAGAGGTGGGGGTTGACACTGGTTTTCTGCTCCTTTGAGAAGCAAACAATTCTGGCCTGGTTGGCATGCGCTAGCTGGTCACTGACCAGGCCCCCACGTGAATCGCCTTAAACTCACACTCAGAGAAACCCACCTCCCAGTCGGACCTGTCACATCCCTGAAGGACAGAACAAGTCCCTGTCTGCTAGGGCCTGGGAGGCAGCTAATTCCAAGTAAGAAATTTTAACCTTAAAAAACAAACTTGTAAGACAAGATTTAAAATGTTGACATTTCTCCCTTCTGGAAAGGGGTGGTTTTATGGGGGGGAAAGGGGGAGAGAGCCCCTCCTCTCGCGGAGCCTAACCCAGCAGGAAGCAGGCCCAGCACCAGGTCCCAAAGCTCCTCGCTACTCAGACCAGTCGGCTAGGGCCACTGGGACACAGAAAAAACTGACTCGAGTCTGCACAGCTGAGAGCTGTAGCTCAATGCTCCCAAAATTCAAAAGGAAAAAGAGGTAACGTGGGAGGAGATAGCTAAGCTAAAACAAAACGGCCAGATGTTCGTTTATGAACTCGAGTGATGCATACATGGGATTCAGAATACTCTCATCTCTACTCATGTACTCATGTTTGAAATGTTCCATGATGATTTCAACTTCCTTTTTAAAAAGCAAATTGAACATAAGCCTCCATGAAGGGCCTTTGACAGGCCCCTCCCCCCGCCCCCCAAAAATGTGTCTAAGGTTGAGAAAGGTTGACAAGGGCCAGAGGGCGTGTGTGTGTGTGTGTGTGTGTGTGTGTGTGTGTGTGTACAAAGATTTCAGACTAGTGCAAAAGACGCACCAGGAGGGCTTGTTAAAACAAATTCCCTGCTCCTACCCCCAGGTTCTGATAGAGTAGATTCCGGTGGGATCTAAAAATATGCATTTCTAATACGCTCCCAGGAGATGCTGATGGCTGCTAGTCCCCAGATCACACCCCTGAGTAGCTCTGTTTCAGAGAACAGGAATACCAGAAGCTCAAAAACTAGTGCCCCTTCTTGAGGCCTTTAATAAAATGTGGTAAAAAAAAAAAAAAGGTATGTTCTTATTCTGCCTGGGGACCAGGAGTCCCCTTGCCCGACCTTCTGCCCCCACCCCTGCCACCGTTTTTCCTGCCCCTCTGACATCCCACTGCCACTCCCTGGGACCAGGAGACATTACCTTCTGCCGGGTTCATTACTGCATCGTGGAGCAGGGTGGCCATACTCCCAGCTATCCCTGCAAAACAAACTCCAGAAAATTACCCTCTGGGACCAGGCGCTCTGAGAAAGTTCCTGGAACCTAAAATCAGACGGAACCCTGGGCACAGCTTTCTAAGAAGCAAAATTCACTACCAACTCCACCCAGGTTCGTGCTGACTCTTAAAGCCTTAACGTAATCATGGAAATACTAGAGAACAATGGGGAAGGAAGGTAAGAGGCACAGGTACCCAGGTTTTCATCTTGTAGAAACTCATTTTCTCTCTGGCAGTCAATCCTGGGCAAAGGTTAGACCTGCTAACGCTGGATGGTACCCAGAAAACACACCTCGTGGCTTTTCCCACCGTCTAGGTTTTAATGCTAGCTTGTCCCTCGCCTCGTCTACCCATGAACTTGCTCTGCACTTACGCTGGGGCAATCAGAGGGAACGACACCATGCACACGGCTGAGAGGCAGGAAACACCAGGAAAGAAATCTTTAAGAAAATGCCTTAATAAGACCTAGGCCAGTGGTCGGCAAACTCATTAGTCAACAGAGCCAAATATCAACAGTACAACGATTGGAATTTCTTTTGAGAGCCAAATTTTTAAAACTTAAACTATATAGGTAGGTACATTGTTATTAACTTAATTAGGGTACTCCTAAGGCTTAGGAAGAGCCACACTCAAGGGGCCAAAGAGCCGCATGTGGCTCTCGAGCCGCCGTTTGCCGACCACGCACCTAGGCAATAGAGCATGGGAAGAGGACGTCAGGAAGACCTGCACCTGGTGGATTTTCAGGGTTAATTTGCAAAGATATGACTTGTCTCGGAGAGGGCCAATCATCTGGCTTCAAAAACCAGGAGTTTCAAAATCCTGGTTCAGGCCTGGGACTTTGCTTTTGGATTTGGGCTTCCTCCCTCTGTGGGTCACATGCCCAGTGATTAAGATGACTGCTGGAAGGTGAAAGGAATGAGGCACCCCAGGCTAAGGCTTCAGAAATATATACCCACCCCCTCCCTCCACACACACTGATGACTCTCCCCAGAAAGGTCAAAGTGCAATCAACCAGAGCACACACCACAGTGAAGCAGGCACAGCTGGGCAGACCCTGGCATAAACTGGGCACCGTTTGGCATAACTTGGCATAAACTGGGCACCATCAAACCACAGTCAAGGGGTCCAGTGACTGAGGAGCTACACCATTACATAGGCAGTTTCAGCAAAAGGAGAGCCTTGAACTCAGGGATGGCCTCAGAGGAGGCTCTTAGTGACCATCTCAATAAACGCACCTCATGCCCAATTTTTAAAAAGCAAAACAAATGTCTGCACACCAGCCAGATACAGTTATTACTACCAAGGCTGGCTGATGGGAAGGACACTTTGGGGTTCTGCACAGAAAAGAGAAGGGAAAAAAATTGTTGCTGGTCACATCTACCTCTCCATTGCTGAACAATTAATTTTGTTAAAATAAGAGCACCGTGCACTGCCATCCACAGTCCCATTCCATATCCACACAGAAACCAAACGAGCCAAACCCCACAGGAGAAGCAAAACCACCACTCCGTGGGCCCGGTAAGACATGTCTAGGTAAGAGCTGCCCTCCAAACCCAAGCCCCCACCCAACTCCCCAAACAACAAAAGAGAACTATTCCAGCCCTTGATCGCAGAGAGATGCAACTCAAACAAACAGAAGAGAGTGGGGGTGAAATTCCCAAACCCCCAGAAGCTTAAGGTGGGAAAGGCCGTCTGCGCTGGAGCAAATCCTTTGTCAGCCATAAAACTTCTTGACCTTTTAAAGCTTAGTTACATCTTGACGTTGCAGAGACCTGTTGAACCAGTTTTTAAATAGTCTCAAAGAAGCTGTCCAGACAACTTTTTTTTTTTTTGGAATCCAGCATTCAAAAGTTTTGTGTCTATTCGGGGTGTGTTTCCTAGATCTGATCATGAATGGCTTTTGAATGTGTCAAAAACAAAAACAAAACAAAAAAGTGAAAAACCCACACAACAATGAAAACGGAAACACCTCTGTCACCAATCTCCCCAGCCTTCAGAAAGCGAAGAAGGGGAACGGGAAAAAGCATGTGTGCGCGTGTGCGTGTGCTTGGGGGTGCGCGCGCACACACACGGCGCTAGAGTTCTTTATTCACAAGCAAGCGTGGCGGAGACGAGGCCTCAGGCTGCTGGGTCACAGGGAGAAGAACCCTGGGGAAGGGTCTGTTGAGGACAGAACTTTCTAACTGCAGACAAACGCTTTCAAATACCATTGGCTATGTGGCTGTTTCCGTGGTGGTGGAAAACGGCATTTAAAGTCCTTTTCATTTTCTCATAGCAGCCAAAATACATGGCATGGGCTGGCCCTGCGCCCATGACCATCACGTTGAGCCCTCGCAAGGGCCTCCAGAAGCCTTCAGTCCGTACGATTTTCTTGAGGGCTCCGTAGATGCTTGTGTACTGGGCTTTGGGATCTGGATTCAAACTCTGCATTCGTGTCTGGGGGAGGGCAACAAAACAAGAAAAGAGGGGCATTAGTGAGGGCGGTCGAGAGGGACCCAGAGAGAGTGAGAGAAAACAGTCCATTTTCATTGTTTCACAGAATCTCTTGGTGAAGAAACACGGGTTCTCTCCTTCCTGGATTGCTCACTGCTCATCTCTCCTCCCTCCCAGACATCTACACATTCACATGGATTTCATTACACCCGGCCAAGGGGGTAAGGATGAGAGACAGGAGTTAGACTAGGAAGACCTGCCCTGCCACTGGCAAGCTGTGTGACCTCTGACACGTCCCTTAACCTCTCTGGGCCTTGGGAATCCTTTATTAAAAAAAAAAAAATAGCCCTGGCCGGTGTGGCTCAGTTGGTTGAGCATCATCCCATGCACCGAGAGGTCGCTGGATCAATTCCCCGTCAGGGCACATGCCAGGGTTGCTGCCAGCTCGATCCCCAATAGGGAGTGTGTAGAAGGCAGCCGATCGATGTTTCTCTCTCAACAATGTTTCTCTCTGCCTCTCCCTTCCTCTCTCCCTAAAATAAATAAAAAATATATATTTTTAAAATAGTCATGGGAATATAAAGTACAGCATAGGGAATAGAGTCAATAATATTGTAACAGCCCAGCCAGAGTGGCTCAGTGGTTGAGCATCAACCTATGAACCAGGAGGTCACAGTTCAATTCCTGGTCTGGCACGTGCTGGGGTTGTGTGTTCGATCCCAGTAGGGGTCGTGCAGGAGGCAACCGATCAATGACGTTTCTCTCTCATCACTGATGTTTCTATCCCTCTCTTCCTCTCTCCTTCTCTTTTCAGAAATCAATAAAAATATATGCTTAAATAATAATATTATAATAACTATGTAAGGTGCCAGGTGGGTACTAGAATTATCAGGGAGAACAATTCATAAATTATATAAATCTCTAATTACTACCCTGTATACCTGAAACTAATACCATATTGAATGTCAAATGCAATTGATAAATCAAAAACAAAACAGGGTTTTCATGACCGTAAGTGAAACAATACATGTGAAAATTTTCAATAAATTCGGAGACCTAGGGAAACATGAGAACTGGGTATTGCCCTGGCAGGCGGGGCTTGGACGGGCATTCTCCCAGGCACCGAAAGGTCACTGGTTCGATTCCTGGTCAGAGCACATGCCTGGGTTGTGGGCTCGATCCCCAGTAGGGGCGTATGGGAGGCAGCCAATCGATGTTTTTCTTCTCTCTCTTCCCCTCTATCTAAAATCAATAAAAACATGTTTTTAAAGAACCTAAGTATCATTATTATTATTATCCTGTTGTTCCCACTCCGGTTCTCGTCTTCTGTGTCCTCACTTATCTGAGACCTCCACGTTCTGAAAGCTCTTGTTCAATCCCTACAATGAAATCTCCCCGGATTCTAGAGCCCGTCTGGCATTTTTGCCATAAGCATTTTGCTGTAAGCATCCTTGCCACAATCATTTTTGCAGCACAACTAATTGGCCACAAGGCAATTTTGCTGTAAAAAATAATAAAAAATTAAAGAGGGGCATAAGAAGGGACACAATGAAACATGAAAAATTAAAAGGACTTTATTGCACAAAATGAAAATACATCATCTTCCACGTCTTCCAAGTTTATTTGCTTGTTGATTCGTCTCCTCGTATGACATCACACTTTTTCTTTTTCCGCAACAATTTTTTCCTTCAAGTCTGTTTCCAGCTAAAGAACCGGTAATGCTCTCGAAGACTGTTGTGTTGTGAATCAGTAGCCACCGCTCTGGTGTTTGCAAAGCTTGATAAACTTTTGGTGTTGACAGGTGTGAGGGCTGACTGTAGTCCCCAAAGGATTTGTAAACTGATGCGTGACCATTTTCTACAATAGGATGAAATCTGGCTTCCCAGGTAGTTTTGTAATCTGCTTTCTACATACTTGTTATCATCCACTATTTTAAGGCCACCACGACTGCTCATCACTGTAGACTATTACGAAAACTGAGATTATGTAATACACAAAGGGGAGTAACTGTGAGAACTTTGTCAATGGAGAAATGAAACCAAACTCACAACTAGGTTAAACACACGATGTCTGCCAAAGTGCGAGGCAAACTATCAACTAGTCATTTTTACCTTTTACAGTGAAATTGCCTTATGGCAAAAATGTTTATAGTGAAAATACCTAGAACCCCCCCTCATTTCCACTAAATACCTTTTACATTTCATCCTTATAAGATGGCACCTACATATACATGGTGTTGTTCCTAAGTTTTTAACATGTAGTCTGGACTCCTGGAGGCAGAGATGGGCTCTCCCATCTCTGTTAGTGTCGTCATGCTCCCCAGGCACCCGAGTGGATGTGATGGTTAATCTTATCCGTCAACCTGGTGAGGCCATGTTACCCGCACTGGCACCAGATATGGTCAAACGCTTGGCTAGGTGTTGCTGTGATAGTACTTTTTAGATGAGCTTAACATGTACATCAGTAGACTTTGAGAAAAACTCCATAGTGTGGGTGGGCCTCATCTAATCCTTCAAAGGCCTGAAAGAAAAATATTGATGTCCTCCCCAAGGAAGAAAGAATGCTGCCTCCAGACAGTCCTTGAACTTGAGCTGCAACATCAACTCTTCCCTGGGTCTCCGGCCAACCTGCCCTGCAGAGTTTGGACCTGCCAGTCTCCATCATCACTCGGTTCGGAGAACCACTAAAGAAAGACCGCTCCCAGACCTAGCACTTTCTGGTAATGACCTCCATCTGGCCTGTGCAATAAGAGAGTCACCTCTGGTTATGTGAGGAGGAGTGGCGAGGGGTGCCTGGGGAGGGCAGTGTGTGTGGAGGGGGCGGAGGCAGAAAGCAGTGGGGCACCTGGTGCCAAGGCTCCAGAGCCAGCCGAGCCAACGCCATCTATCTGAATTCTAGCTCTGGGACTCAGCTGGTTCCTTAACTTGGGGGCATAAAGTAACCCCAGAGAGCCACTGGCATGCGATAGCCTGGGAAACACCTGCTGTGGACGGGCAGTCAACAATGCCCAAACCTCTCCTGCTCCCCTTCAGGGATGTGAAGAACTCTCCCTTACAAAGCTGCTCACATCAACTTACAGAGGAAACTTCTGATTAAGTTCTCGCCTCCCCTTTTTAAAACTAGGGGTGAGGCAGTAGGAGGAGTAAATATTACTGAACCCAAAATGCACCGTCCTCCTATGGGAAAGAGACAAAAAACGGGGCATCTTTGCACACTCCGTGGACTTCTCCATCCTCAGGGGGTGGTCCACTCAAGGGCAGGCCACATTTAATGACACGTGCCTAGAACAGAGGGAGACCCAGGCAAGGCCCCTCTGGGCCCATCACAGCCATGGTTTGGGGGCAGAGCCTCTTCAGTCCTACAGCACCTTTGTTTCTTCAACCTGCCGGCAGGGAGCACCCACTTGGGTCGGGCACCAGGACACAGAGAGGAAAAGTCAAGGGGGAAACAAGCAAAGTGTGTGATAAGGGGAGAATGACACAGACTGCTCAGGGTGCCCAGAAGGAACCCAGAGAGACCAGGCTGCACCCTTACAGTCACGGTGCCTTTCAGCAGAGAGGCTGAGAGAAGCTGGAGGTGGCCAGGTAAGAAGGGAGGCAGAAGAGGCAGGAGCCAGAAAGGAAACCATCAGTTGATTTTCTCTTTTTCCCATTCAATGACTCTGCCAGTAAAACACACAACTGAGACCAGAGACCAGTAAAAAACACACCTGTGGACCAGAGACAAAGAAAAAGTCACGGTGGCTAGAGACAACCCAAGTGTTCATCAATGGACGGACGAATGGATAAGCAAAATGTGGTCCATCCATACCATTAACTATTACTCAGCCTGGAAAAGGAAGGCCAATCTGACACCTGCTACAACATGGGTGAGCTTGGAGGACATGATGCTAAGTAAAATAAGCCAGTAACAAAACACAAATGGTGTATGATTCCACTTATGAGGTACCTATAGTCAAATTCATCTGGACAAAGAGTAGAATGGTGGTTACCAGGGGCTTAGGGGACGAGGGGAGGGCAGTTAGTGTTTAAAGGGGACATAGTTGTCCGGTCTGGTGTCTCAGATGTTTAGAGCATCATCCCAATACACCAAGGTTGTGAGTTTGATCCCTGATCGGGGCACATACAAGAATCAACCAATAAATGTATAAGTGAAACAACAAATTGATGCTTCTTGTTCTCTCTCTCTAAAAATCAATCAATAATTATTTTTTAATTTAAAGGAAACAGAGTTTTGGTTTTGCAACTTGTAGAGTTCTACAGATGGATAGTGGTGACAATAGCCCAACAATGTGAATGTATTTAGGGCCACTGAACTGCACACTTTGAAATGGTTAAGATGGTTCCTATGCTATTATGTGCACTTTACCACAATTTTTTAAAAAGTCAGGGAGAAGGTGAGAAAAAGGGAAAATAAAATGAATGAAGTAGGATGCATGGAGGGAGGGCAGAGCTTAGAAAACAACAACACAATAACAAACCAAAAACAACGGAAACAGAGAATTTCACAATCCACCTTTCCGGTCCTGGGTTTCAGTTCCTGCTCAAGGCCTTGCTACATGGCTCTCCATTTCCTCATAATAACCTCCCACTCTGCATTTTAATTCTCCCTTCTTAAAAACTCAGGATGCACATCGGTGTATTCAAGGCCCTGGAAGTCCTTCAGGAAAGCCGCCTGTTGAACTCGGTGTCACCAGGCATGCCTTAAACGTCTGTCTTTGGCGATGGAAGCCCTGGCTCTCTGAATAACCAGCTCTGCCCGCAGAGTGCACTTGAGAACACACGGCTGTAGCCAACGGGCCCTGGAAGCAGAAAGTGCACAACCAGCTGCAGGTGTCAGAGGACCCCCGGCAGCCCCTGCAGCGTGGGCAGCGGGGCAGCCTGGGGGACAGGGCCCAAGAAGGTAGTAGAAATAGCAGGAGGAACCCTCTGCTGCGTGTTGTCATGCTACCCCCCACACGGCTAACTGCCGTCTGCCCTAAAGGGGCAGGTGGAGAAAAGTGC